TTCTTCATTTGTCATTTCCATCCAGCTACTCTATCTAGATGTTCCATCAAGATGATTCACTCAGATTTTAAAGAATATTTGTTTCTTCATCTAGATGAGCCATCTGAATGAGTCATCTAGATGGATTTCATGTTCGTTTATTATCTTTCTATTTTCATCCAAATGAGGTTTAATGAATAAATTATAAATATATCTTTATTTTGATTTAGTCATATATTTGATATTATTTTTAACTTTACTAATTTATTATTTAGTCCAAAATATATACATTGAAATTATTTTAAAATTAGCACTTTGAAATTTTGGCTTTTCATTTTTTGTGTGGAAAAACGCGTTTTTGTGATTTTGGCGAAAAGCGCGTTTTGCGGTAAAATGTGTTTTTGACAGAAAAATGCATTTTGCGGTTCTGGCGAAACAATATATTTTCGAGTTTGACGATAAAACGCGTTTCCGGTTTTGACAGGAAAAACCCATTTTTTTCGGGTTTGGAGGGAAAAACGCGTTTTTGAGGTTTGGCAGAAAAACCTATTTTTGGATTTGGCGAGAAAAACGCGTTTTCACGGTTCTGGCAGGGAAAACACGTTTTAAGGTTTTGGTGGGAAAAACACATTTTACAGTTTTGACAGAAAAAACACATTTTAACGGTTTTGGCGGGAAAAACGTATTTTTTGGTTTTGGCAGGAAAAACAGGTTTTTCGGTTTTAGCGGGAAAAATGCTTTTTTCGGGTTTGACGGGAAATATGTTTTTATTTTTGGCAGGAAAACGCGTTATTTGGTTTTGGTGGAACTCGTTTTTACGGTTTTGTCGGGAAAAATAAATTTTCGGTTTTGACGAAAAACCGTGTTTTTGATTTTGGGGTAAAAACACAAAAACATCAGTTTTGGCAGGAAAATACGATTTTCTCATTTTTTTCAAGAATTACAAAAAATGATATTAGGTTTATGTTTATAATTTGTAAAGTATATAAAGGGTATAATAGACATTGTACTATTTTGACCAAACCATCTCCATCCATATATATGGTCATTTAGATACGCCATCCATATGATTTGTACTTTATGTCTACACAAACAAAACTCTCATCTCCATCCAGATGACTCATTTGGATGTGGAAACGAACAGCCCATAAATCAACCGAAACTCATTGAGATGGTTGTGCAATAGATGTCTGATGATTTACAAGATCTGTTTTCTGCAGCGATCGAAGCCACTTATCTTAGATGAGACCTAGGCGGAATCGATCGATGTGTTGAAAACGTTGAGGTCTACGTCTCTCTCCGTCAACGATATTCATCGATTATCTGATTCGATATTTCTGTTGGAGAATTTAAGAACTCATAAGAGAAGGTCCATGAAGTATCTCAATCTTTGTCCGATTCATGGTTAGTCACTCTCTACGAACAAGGTAGAGACCAATCTCTCAAACAGAAGAAGACAGAGACGGTGCTTGTAAAAACGGAATGGAACGGTGGTAAGGTTACAACCAAAACCTTGCTTGCTCATCCGAAGATAGTCGCTTCTTTCAAAAAGAGATGGTAGAGTTGTTCGAAGCAGCAAATAAAGCGGCTGACGTGGTCAATGCTAAGGGTAATCTCTCTGGAAAAGCTGATGCATTGAGGCTCTCACATTTCTCATGAAGATCAACAGTGTCACTCCAAAACCTAATGAGCCAAGGAAGATGACTGAGAGGCTTCAGGGACTTACAAAGTACAAGGACCGTGTCATTTGCAATGCTGCGACAACTCTTCTCCAACTCTGGCGGCAGAGGATCAGAGAACAAGAGCGTGAACGTTTGTCTACAATCGATATGATTCTTGACAAACCTCGTAAAGCTAATCATCAGATACATGGGGGTCAGGGCTTCACAATAGAACTTACAAAGACGAGGAAGTTAGTGAGGTGAAGAAGACCTTGGGTTTGAATAGTTTGTGGAGAAGATTATTCATTTGTAAGAGTTTATAAAAAGGTTTATCATTGTTTCTATTGTCAATAAATAAAATCTCACGAATTATTCTTTCCCTTACATTTCCAAAGTAACATTGTTTGGTATGGAAGCAACTAGTAATCATAATATGAATAATTAACAAGTATTAGAATATTACTGAAGGCTGAAACTTATATAACAAATGAGTCAAACTAAGGTAACTCATTATTAATTTTAACTTTACTAATTTATTTTTTAGTCCAAAATATATACATTGAAATCATTTTAAAATTAGCATTTTGAAATTTTGGCTTTTCATTTTTATGTGGAAAAACGCATTTTTTTGATTTTGGCGAAAAGCGCGTTTTGCGGTAAAACATATTTTTGACGAGAAAATGCATTTTGCGTTTATGACGAAAAAATACATTTTTGAGTTTGGCGATAAAACGCGTTTTTGGTTTTGACGGGAAAAACACATTTTTTGGGTTTGGCGGGAAAAATGCGTTTTTGAGGTTTGGCAGAAAAACCTGTTTTCGGGTTTGCCGAGAAAAACCTGTTTTGGCGGGGAAAACACATGTTAAGGTTTTGGTGGGAAAAACACGCATTTTAACGGTTTTGGCGGGAAAAACGTATTTTTTTTGGTTTTGGCAAGAAAAACGTGTTTTTCGGGTTTGATGGGAAAATATTTTTTTATTTTTGGCAGGAAAACGCGTTTTTGGTAGGAAAAACGGTTTTCCAGTTTTGCTGGAACGCATTTTTACGGTTTTGTCGGGAAAAAAAAATATTTTTTGGGTTTTGACGAAAAACCGTGTTTTTGATTTTGGCGAAAAAACACAAAAACATGTTTTCAGTTTTAGTGAAAATGAATTACAAAAAAAAAGATAGTAGGTTTATGTTTATAATTTGTAAACTATATAATGGGTATAATAGACATTGTACCATTTTGACCGAACCATCCCATCCAAATGGTCCTAATTGGTCCATTTAAATGGACTATAAAATTAAGCTTATAATTTCAAAAGTCATTTAGATGAGCCATACATATGATTTGTACTTTTAATGTCTAAAAAAACAAAACTCTCATCTTCATCCAGATGACTCATTTGGATGTGGAAACGAACAGCCCCTAAATCAACTGAAACTCATTGAGATGGTTGCGCAAAAGATGTCTGATGATTTACAAGATCTGTTTTCTGCAGCGATCTAAGCCACTTATTTTACACGAGACCTAGGCGGAATCGATCGATGTGTTGTAAACGTTGAGGTCTACGTCTCTCTCCGCCAACGATATTCATCGATTTTTTGATTCGATATTTCGGTTGGAGACTGTGAGAACTCAGAAGAGAAGGTCCATGAAGTATCTCAATCTTTGTTCGATTCATGGTTAGTCACTCTCTACGAACAAGGTAGAGACCAATCTCTCAAACCGAAGAAGACAGAGACGGTGCTTGTAAAAACGGAATGGGACGGTGGTAAGGTTACAACCAAAACCTTGCTAGCTCATCCGAAGAGAGTTTCTTTTTTCAAAAGGAGATGGTAGAGTTGTTCGAAGCAGCAAATAAAGCGGCTGGCATGGCCAATGCTTAGGGTATTCTCTCTGGAAAAGCTGATGCATTGGGCTCTCATGTTGCTCATGAAGATCAACAGCGTCACTCCAAAACCTAATGAGCCAAGGAAGATGATTGAGAGGCTTCAGGGACTTACAAAGCACAATGACCGTGTCATTTGCAATGCTCCGACAGCTCTTCTCCAACTCATGAGGCAGAGGTTCAGAGAACAAAAGCGTGAACCTTTCTAGTTTGGCGATAAAACGCGTTTTTGGTTTTGACGGGAAAAACACATTTTTTGGGTTTGGCGGGAAAAACACGTTTTTGAGGTTTGGCAGAAAAACCTATTTTCGGGTTTGCCGAGAAAAACATGTTTTTACAATTTTGACGGGGAAAACACGTTTTAAGGCTTTGGTGGGAAAACACGTTTTACTGTTTTGACAGAAAAAACACATTTTAACGGTTTTGGCGGGAAAACATATTTTTTTTTTGGTTTTGGCAGGAAAAACTTGGTTTTTCGGTTTTTGCGGGAAAATGCCTTTTTCGGGTTTGACGGGAAAATATGTTTTTATTTTTGGCAGGAAAACGTGTTTTTGGTTTTGGTAGGAAAAACGCTTTTCCGGTTTTGGTGGAACGCGTTTTTACGGTTTGTCGGGAAAAATATATTTTTTTGGGGTTTGACGAAAAACCGTGTTTTTGATTTTGGCGGAAAAACACAAAAACATGTTTTCAGTTTTGGTGAGAAAATGCGATTTTCTCATCTTTTCATGAATTAAAAAAAAATGATAGTAGGTTTATGTTTATAATTTGTAAACTATATAAAGGGTATAATAGGCATTATACCATTTTGACCGAACCATCTCCATCCACATGGTCTAAATTGGTCCATCCAAATGGACTATAAAATTAAGTTATAACTTCAAAAGTCATTTAGATGAGCCATACATATGATTTGTACTTTTAATGTCTAAACAAACAAAACTCTCATCTTCATCCAGATGACTCATCTGGAGTTGGAAACGAACAGCCCTAAATCAACTGAAACTCATTGAGATGGTTGCGCAAAAGATGTCTGATGATTTACAAGATCTGTTTTCTGCAGCGATCGAAGCCACTTATCTTACACAAGACCTAGGCGGAATCGATCGATGTGTTGTAAATGTTGAGGTCTACGTCTCTCTCTGTCAAAGATATTCATCGATTTTGTGATTCGATATTTCGGTTGGAGACTGTGAGAACTCAGAAGAGAAGGTCCATGAAGTATCTCAATCTTTGTTCGATTCATGGCTATTCACTCTCTACGAACAAGGTAGAGACCAATCTCTCAAACCGAAGAAGAAAGAGACGGTGCTTGTAAAAACTGAATGGGACGGTGGTAAGGTTACAACCAAAACCTTGCTAGCTCATCCGAAGAGAGTCGCTTCTTGCAAAAGGAGATGGTAGAGTTGTTCGAAGCAGCAAATAAAGCTGCTGGCGTGGCCAATGCTAAGGGTATTCTCTCTGGAAAAGCTGATGCATTGAGGCTCTCATGTTGCTCATGAAGATCAACAGCATCACTCCAAAACCTAATGAGCCAAGGGAGATGATTGAGAGGCTTCAGGGACTTACAAAGCACAAGGACCGTGTCATTTGCAATGCTCTGACAGCTCTTCTCCAACTCTGGAGGCAGAGGATCAGAGAACAAGAGTGTGAAGCTTTGTCTACAATCGATATGATTCTTGACAAACCTCTACAGGCTTATCATCAGATACATGGTGGTCAGGTCTTCACAAGAGAACCTACAAAGAAGAGGAAGTTAGTGAGGTGAAGAAGACCTTGGGTTTGAATAGTTTGTGGAGAAGTTTATTCATTTGTAAAATTTTATGAAAAGGTTTATCATTGTTTCTATTGTCAATAAATAAAATCTCACGAATTATTCTTTCCCTTACCTTTCCAAAGTACCATTGTTTGGTATGGAAGTAACTAGTAATCATAATATGAATAATTAACATGCATTCGAATATTACTGAAGGCTGAAACTTATATAACAAATGAGTCAAACTGAGGTAACTCATTATATGCTAAGTTGAATTGATTGATCTAACTCATTTTCTATTGCCTAATAAATTAATAATACCAATCATAAAAAACGGTATGTAGAGATGGTTTACCTTTAGTTCTAGGGTTTAGATTATTATTATTATTTTTTGAATTACAAAACAAATTTAACCAAACCCAAGAGTGGAGCTACTTATACTGTGATGTATGATTCAGGGTCCAAATCACAGTGTTCTATAAACGAATATATTGCTGAAGGGTTTTGGCTTGGAAGTAGTTCAACAAAAACCCCAACTTCATATGTGATACTCTTTAATGAGGAGAAAAAAATAAAGAGGATCATTAGACTTCACCAAAGTGGTGAAGATTTGATTGAAAAACGACTTAAGTGATAGCAAAGTTACTTAACAGAAGAAACAAATTGGAACTCCAAGTGGTGGACTTCCTTTGTGCTTCCACCTTCCGTCAACACTTTATATCTAGTCTACATTGACTGGAATGTAAAGGTAAGCTAAGGAAATAAAATTCAGGCTTACCAAAAAAATCAGATATTTTAAGAAAACATCCAATCCACCAAATTCAAAATAACACAGCATCGAAATAGCATAACCAACGAGGTTGCATCACTCACATATATAACATTAGAAAAAATCATGATACTCACATTTTTCTACAGTGTATTTCTATCAATTACCATTTGAATCTTAATCACTTGAGAGTCAAATGCCTAACCCTATGGATCATATTGATTAAACTGATTGAAAGCTTAGTTTGTTTATTCCATTGTTTTGGTTACTAGTTATCTTAATTGCAAACTGTTACTTATTACAGTGATTGCACTTAGATTAAGTTGTATGGCTTGCATTATTAGTGCTTAGAATTTTTTAAAAATTGGATTGATACCTCTTGTACTACAACTAATTGAGGAGCAAACTTGTCCTTATCAGCTTGATAGTGTTAAGTTAATGGAAATTGATGTTGATGCTTTAATAGCATAGGGATTATTCCTATAGAAATAGATTAACCTACTTGTAATTGTCTAGACCTATAGAACATGAATGATCATTGTATGAGCACTCTTCTATATTGAATCCTTGTCATCTTAAATCAGTACCCTTGACCATGGATCCATATTTAAATCTTGATTGAATACTTGTTTAGTTTCATTGCTCTTGTGAACTTGATTTCTTGCTTGTTACTCGATACCACTCAACTACATCTGGATACTGAATTGTTTTGATTAGGCAAATGATTTGTAATCTCATTGTATAAAACAACTTAAGATTGTATTGACCTCTCTTATACTACTTCGACTATAGGATTGAGATTTAATATTTATCACCAAAGACGGGAGAAATACCCTTGAAGAAGACAAGTGATGAAAAATCCGTAGAATAGAAACACTGATATCATCTTTTATTTTATTGATAGAAAAGACTAGTATAATAAAAGTGTTGCACGAGAGTTTATGGAAATAACATTAGTTTAATATGCCAATGTTGTTATTTATTACATTGTAGGTTTACGACAATAACACTGATTGAAAATGCACGCATAAGCTTGTTCACCTTTCGCCTTGCAAAAGTCAATGCAAGCAGCAACACCACAGTTTGTGTCAAGTGGTAAAGCTACGTGTTTTGGATTGACGCATTTACAATGGTTGTCCTCACATTTGATCTTCGTTACACATTTCAAATGAACACAATCAGAGACTTTTTGACAAGATTGTGCTAGATTATGAGTGCCTGTTAGAGTAAGACAGGATAATATATATTGTTAATGATTAATATGGTCATCATGATGAACTGATGATAATAACAATGGTGAAAAATCAGAAATCTACAATGGCGATGAATAACTAAGATATGATTTAGGAAACTTACATGTTGAGAAAAGTATAAGTCCGATGAATATGAAAGCTACTTTCTCCATTTCTATTGAGTAAATTGTAATTTTTATTGTAATTATATTTGTTTGTGTTACTTAGGTGAAGATTTGGAGACTATTTATAACTGTAATTGCAAGCAATCTGTTATGTTAACTGATTTTCTAGTCAATATTTGCATTTGGTTTAATAAGACTTTGATTTATTTCCTTTCTATCGCCTATCTCGCATCTTTTGATTTTTTTCTCCAACAATATTTTACACGGTATCTGATTTTATATTTAGAAGGAGTCTAATAGTTATACCTAGTTTGGATGCCTCAACTTTGACAAATCTAAGGTAAATTGGGAAGGAGATCGATTTTCGTCTCCATGACTGTTTGAATATTATATATATTATTATACTAGGGTAAAACCGCCCTACGGACGGGGAAATATATAGTTATTTTAAAAATTTTAATTTTGTTTTAAGTAAAAAAACATTAATTTCATAAAATTAGCACAACAATGTTAATTTAATTTAACTATTAGTTTTAGAGATTATATCCTTATCTAATTATTATACAATTATATATATATATAACTTTTTTTCACCTGGAATTTATATATTTTATTAGATATTTTTTATTTGGGAATATTTGGTTATATACTTATGTATGAACTATTATTTTTATGATTGCTTATTTTTACTTTAATCCTTCTTTTTTTGGTGTTAAGTATATTCAACTTCCAACTCGTTGTATTTAACTAAATTTTATAATTCGTCTGTTGAGATAATTTTAGTGAGAATATGTTCTATTTTATTTTTGTTGGATAGATCTTCTGATATACTTGTTTTATTTTAGATTATCTACTCTTATATTATAATTGACATGTTGTTTTTCTTGTGTCTCTTGTTATACTGTGAAAAATATATGTGTATATATATATATTTATATATTTTCATGTAAGTATTTAAATTAAGTTTGATGTTTCTTTGCAACAAATGCTTTTTGATTCCATTGATACTTTTATTTTTATATGTTTTGAAACTTATTTATTTAGATAATGTGATAAATAAATCGATTTAGATTTTTTTTCTAAATTCAATTAAATAACATAGCAATATAAATATGGTTATTTAAGAATATACACATTTTATTACTTTTATCATATAAACCATATAATACAATTGATTAAGACCTTTAGAAATATATTATTGTTAGTTTTAGAGTATACATGGTTGTTGTCTTAATTTTATTTGATTACCTTTTGAATATGATATTTTATATTGGTTTATATATATATATGTTATTTCCTTAAAAATCACCTTAATTTTATTAAGTAAGCATATTTAGTAAATATATTTTTTAATTTCATAATATTATATTTTATCCAATAGAATGTTGCGTAATGTATTCGGGTTAAGTAACACTTTATATTTTTAACGTATATTACAAGGAATTAATTCTCTATAATAGTCTATTTCTATAATATAAAGTAATAAAATAGATGAACTTTTCTATTTCTAGGTGACGTTTGATGCTAGAAAATATCATGTATCTTTATGTTAATGGAATTTAAACCAATATATTTTTTGGTTAAGTTCATAAAAAAACTTTGGTAAGCATATAAACCTTTTTTAGTAAAACTTAGTTAAATTGTTCGGTTGACCAATTGGTTTAGAGAGATATAGAGAATAGTATGATTTATGGAACCAACTCTGCATCTATGTTGTTTGTATTTCTCTTCTCATTGTCCTCTGCTGTTGGTGGTAAAACCTCTGCTGTTACTTCTAGGAAGAGCCAGTAAAAAACAATTGAATAATCTTTCTTTTCTTCCTCTTGATTGTAATTCTCAAAAGAGTCAAGCAATTATGAAAACATTGGGTTTGGCGCTTAAATAGACTCAGTCCAAAATAGTTTACAAAGCTTCGTGAGTCAAAAGATAAACACTTATAAACATGTTATTGTACCACATCACTGCGTATACATTAACTGTTGGAATTAGTACACAGATAGAAAGTTTAAGATTAAAACAAAATTTACTTATACCAACTAATTTTATGGTTTAGTAGGCACTGTATTTGGTTTGCTGATGCTATCATGTTTTCTCTGTCCTGTATTTGATTTGCTGATGCTATCATGTTTTCGCTGTCATGTATTCATTATTGTCGATATTTTCCTGAAAATATCCTTACATTAACTCGTGAGAGCATCAAAAAACCAAATACAGGACAGGGAAAACATGATAGCATCAGCAAACCAAATACAGGACAGCGAAAACATGATAGCATCAGCAAACCAAATACAGTGGCTACTAAACCATAAAAAATAGTTGGTATAAGTAAATTTTGTTTTAATCTTAAACTTTCTCTTTGTACTAATTTTATTGTAATACTTAGTACTTTGAGTTGGTATCAATACTTAGTACTTTGAGATTTAATTATAATCTAAACCGAACGAAATCTGAACTAGATCCGAAGATATCTGAAATTAATATAATATGTTAATATACTTTTATATATCAAAGTAATTTATATATTTTATTGTATTCAAAATATTTTTGTAGTTTGTTTTATTTTTTATTTTGAATATCATTTAGTTAATTTAGATAGTTTAACTAATTTTAAATTAGATTGACGAATAATTTAAATATTTTGACAATTTTTTTTGTCAATTTTGAGGTTTCAAAAATAATTTTTTGGACGATTTCAGATTTTGGTTACAATTGGATCCTAATCAAATCCAGAAGGAACCAAACCGAAACCGATCCGATAATTAGTAAAACCTGAATGGGTCTAAAAACCATAATATCAATAATTTGAAAATCTGATGGGTCTCTGAATGTGTAGACATATGATATATTTAAGAGATCAACATTTGTATTCGTTATTTTATAATCATT